AACTTTAGAGCTTGACCCTGATTATGATTAGATCATGAAGCCTGGAGGTGGGGAAGCAGTGCCAGTCCCCTCAGGCAGCAGCCATTCCTGGGACCAGGCTGGATGGCGGCAGGTGTGTGGCAACTCAGAGGTGTTGGGAACACCTTTGTGGCAACTCAGAGATGTTCTCAAAGGTGGAAATTGTCGTTAGGTCGTGCAGTCCAGCCATCCCTTGTCACAGAAACTGTTCCTAACACCTTGGTTATGGTGTCCTTTGTCTCAGCACAACTGGCTGGTGTCCAGCAAAATCAGGGCTGGAATCATATTTTGGCTTTTAGAAATTCTTTATATTTTTAGGGCACAGTCCAGCAATATAACTAAGTATATGCTTGTGAACAATATCACTGATTTCAGTAGGGCTGTTGATGCCCTTGTATTTAGGCACGTATTTGTTCTTGTCTGAGGCTGTAACCATCCTCTACAGTTCAGTGCATGTTATATGCTTGCCACTAAACCTGCTCTGCTCTGCCATTCCAACACACCCAGAGAACCTGATGGCAGAGAAAGAAATATCAGTGATTTCCCAACAGTTTCCACTATAAAACTGAGATTTTCAGACATTTATAACTTCACCCAAATGTAACTGCTCAGTCCAAAATTTCCTGTGCTAGGTATGGTGAGCAAGGCTGAGTGTTTGTTTAAGAAAATGTTAGCTAAAATGTTTCTGTCACTAGGAAAAATGTGTTTGGGTTTTTTTTTTAATCTTGGAGGAACTCTGCTGCTCTCACATTTTGGAGCAAGAAATGCAGCAGAAGAGCTTTCTGGGCTGAAAGCAGCTACTGGCATTAACAACAGTCCTCTTTGCCAGTATCTGGAAATGCAAATAAATTTGATCAGATCATGAAGTTCTAAAAATTGTGTATCGCAAGCAATATTCAGTACAATGCTGTATTAGAATTTGGCAGCTAAATGCTGTCTATATTGAGAACATACTTCTCTGTGTAACTCCTATATGTGAAACCACAGAAAACTGGATTTTGTCCTTGTTTCTGCCACAGAGCAGTTGGTGAGGTTTGGATAAGTCACTTAAGAGTACTAAGTTGGTCATTAATTTTGCATGTTTCATTCTAAGAGTGCCTAATTTTGAGACTCTTCCGGTTAGTTTTTCATTTCTGGCCTCCTCCTGTTCCTGCAGTCTTCTGAGATCTGTAGGAAGGTAGTAAAAAAAGGCTGAATATGATTCTGTGAGACATTTTAGCCGGTAAAATAGTTTTTAAATTGGGAGGGGGTTGCCTTACTGTTCTGCTTCTGTGCAATGGGGTTTGGCTGCTGTTATACCTTAGGTTGAGGCGATGCTTTTATTGTTTTATAATTGTCCTTCACATACAAGCACCGTTAGTTTTGTGCATTGAATTAACCAGACTCAGTAGGAACATTGCTGTCTTAGGCCCTGAAGGGACATCAAGGCACCACCCAGCCCGTTTCTCATAACCATGATGGAAGTCATCTACCTGGATAATCTGTGGCAGGTGTGTGAGGGCTTCCAGAATGGGCTAATGATGGCACATGGCTGTTGGTTCCAGTGTTTCAGAAATCTTATTGCCAGGAGGCTTTCCTCGACACAGATGTGAGCTCTCCCCTGCCTCAGTGCAGTGTAGTGCTTGTATTAAACACACAGCTGAGGTTACCCAGGTGGCTTTGGGTTTAACACTTTTTGACCTGAAGGTTGATTTTATGTGTGTGAAATGGTCAAGTGTGGTACGTGCTGAGATTGAAAGTATTATGCATCTGAAGATACCGTATTTTTATTTATGGCTCAGTCAAAATAAATTAAAATAATCGATGATTGTTTTGAAAGCAAATTACTGGGAGTACTATATATCTACCATGGCAAGTACTGAAGAGATGAGAATATCTTATAATGCCAGAATGAGTTGTGTAAACATGGGTATTTATATACTCAACAGCAGCAAATCTCTGAGAGGGTTTTTTGTTGGGTTTGTTTTTTTCTTGGCTGAGTCTCCACTGATCCCACTTTATCCCAAAGGAGAAGGAGGAGAAAACTAATGTTCCTATCACACATGTTCCTTTATTGATTTCCGTTCCAATCTACCCGAAGTCTTCTGTGCTGGAAATAATTAGACCCTGTGAACAGAGATGAAGCAAAAATCTATACAATGCTGGATTGCCAGAAATGAAGACAAGGGTGCCTAATTAATGTTGCATATAGAATGCCTTTTGGATGAATGGGCTTCCCTTTCTCAGAAGCAGCTCAACAGCAGTCATGTCACAAATTTGCTGTTAATTAAATGGTGTTCACTGTGTGCCTGTAAAAATGGCATGGAGGAAAAAAAAACATTGGACGGCAGCAGCATTTTACAAGAGCTCTCCAATTAAAAGAAAAGCCTGTGGAAAACAAATTTGCAGGCTTCATGCTGACGGCAAGATATTTTCACCCATATGAAATTCACTTTATGGATTGTTCAAAGCTCTTTAGGAATGTGTAGTCACTGAAGAAGTTTGAACTTCAAAAATTGGACTGAAAGTGTGTTGGGAGGGTTAAGGATAGGGAAAATGTTCCTGGGAGCTGAGGCAGGATGGATGACAGCACAGCTCCCATCCTTAGGCAGCTGCAGCCTGGCCAGTGGGTAAGGACTGTTCACAAGGTGAGTCAGGGGCTGGAGGAAGCCACTAGGTTAACTTTTCTTTGCATGAGAGGTGAACTGAAGGTGATCTAAGTTAGATGGTATAGTGCACCTTGGGAACTGAGAAGGCAGATGTTTAGGAAGAGTTTAAGAGAGCTGATGGAAAGTCTTCACAACACAGATGCACTTCACTAAAAGCAGAAATACCTGGGGGAAAAACCGGAAGGTACCTGAAGCAGATTAAGAGAAGAATGTAGAAAAAGCTGGACCCATATGACTCTGTCCACTTGTCTGTTTTCTCCAAATAACACAATTTTAAAGTTAATCCCAAACTGGAAAAGTCCAGCCTTGCAACTGCATCACAGACAGGCCTGAGTCATCGACTGAGCTTCCTTCAGTGGCACGTGCTGTCAGTGGTTTTGCAGTGGCATCCTTTTCTCCCTCCCTGGTCTTCCTGAATCCACTCGTGCTTCTTTTTCCCTTGCCATTGCCTTGCTACACCCAGAGGAGCTGCTGGCAAGAAGCAGGGACTCCTGCACTGGTCTTGCTTCTGGACAGTGCATGGCAGGTGAGGAAGGACCTTTGTTCCAGGGGCTGAGGAAAGAGAGTGTGTGGAGCAGCCCTGGTGGATTGTTGTTTATAGTTATTACTCTGCTCATCTTCTTGTGAAGTTGGTCTCCTTTTAGTGGTGGCCAGGGTAGCAATGCCACGTGCCTGTGCCTGCTGCAGAAAGCAGCAGTGGGATGGTGGGGGCTTCAGAGGTTTCCAGTAGCACAGGGATTTTGGGACAGCTGTTCTCCTGTAGTTTGCAGGCCACTGGTGCCTTCTTGCAGCCTTTAATTCTCTCCTTTTATCTTTATTCCCTCTTTGCTCTTCTAGATATCTGTTGTGGCCCATCTAAGTGATACAAGTGCTTTCTGTGCGTCTCTGGAGAATTTAAATAGCATCATTCCCTCCTTCCTTTTTCCCCCTATAAATGCAAAGGGAGTTTATCCTCTTTGGGCAAAGATAGAAAACATTGCTTTTTCTCTCTGAGAAACTAGAGAATGAGTAAAACCCAGGCTCCTCAGTCAAGAATATAAATTCATCTGGTGAATCTGTAAGAATCTTCCTAGACTAGACCTTAAACTACAAGAATAGATGTGTTTTCTGATGAAAATCTAGTTCACATAAAATGTGTTTTTAGCATGGATTTGAGAGAGGTAATTATTTTTTCCCAGTATAGTAGAAGCTGTGGTTCTGGCTTAGGAATTTTATGAAATAATTTGAGTGCAGGAGAAAGGTACTAGTAAGAAAGAGATTTTTACAATAGCGTACCTTCTAAGTCCTCTCTTTTCTTCCCATTTGGGTGCTTAGCATCATCTCCCTCTACTCTTATTCTGTTTTAAGAAGCATTTTTCTGTCCAAGCTGTCGGCTCTGATGCACAACTAAAATAGGTGCACATGAAGGTTATGATTCCTCTTCCCATTGTTGCATTTTGATTCCAAACTCCAGATTTAATCTATTTAAATAATCTACTCGTGGGACTAAAGTCAACTACTAGAACTTTTTGATGTTCAACAAATATTAAGGCTTTACAATTATTTGAATCAAATAACCAAATCCATATGAAATACACTACTTTTTATCTTTCCAACAGATTGATTTTCTTCCCTGGATCCATTTTAAGCTGCACTACAGTTGATAAATCAAAAATAAACTGAGTTTTTAGTACAGGGGTGTGTTAAGTGTATGATTTCCACTACATCGCAGCGTGCTACATATTAAAAAGTGAAAACATGTAACACATTTTGACTACAGAATTGAAATGGATTTTCAGACCTAGTCCCAGTGAATAGGTGCTGAAGTGATGGCAATGACTGTAGCTCCTGGACTGTAATTATCATTTGAGTTATTTCCCAGTGCTAGGAGACTTCACAGCTGTGGACACAGTGGTGGGGGGTGGAGGAAGAAAAGGCAGCAGGCTGAGATGGCAATGCTTTCTGAAGTTATTTTGGGTGTAGGAAGTGATTAGTGTTGGTACAGCTTGCTCCTGTGTTACCCTTGTTGCACATTTGTAAGAACATATCCTCACAAGGTATTTTAAAGCCTTTTTGAGCGTTTTAATTAATTGGAACTGCAAAAAAGTGTGAAAACAATTCTGGTTTCACAGAAGTCAGTCCTGTTTTGTTGTTTTCTTCAGTAGCAGTAGAAGCTCATCTCCAGAGCATGTATTTTAAATTCTTAGGAGCATAGAAAGCATCACTGCCTGTTCAGTCCGTCTGGAATCCGAGTTCTCGCTGGCTGTTGCCCTGAGCTGATGGATCTCACTGCAGTGTATTTCCCATAAAATGAAATGGAGTCAGACCATAACCTGCTTTTCTCTTCTCCTGCAGCTTGGCTTTACATCCCCGAAAAGACATCGTAGTGACTGGCAGCGATGACCACCTCTGGAAGATGTGGGCTCTGCCTGACGGGAACCTCCTCATGACAGGCGAAGGTCACACTGACTGGCTCTCGGGCTGCTGCTTCCGTCCAAGGTCAGTGCAGGCAGGGCCCTGGAGCAGCACTGATCCCTCCTGGGGAGTCCTTGTTTGCTCTCTCTCTGTTCACTGGCCTGCTCTGACGCCTTTCTGTTCTCAGGGTAGCCCAGCACTCTCTGCTGAATTTCCAAACATGTAGATAAATGTTCCTCTGGCTTTCGGTGTGTTGACTTAAGATTGATTGCTTTTAGTATTTTGTACATCTTAAACTCTGTCCACGTGCCAGTGCATGTTACAAGGAGTAGTAAGCTCTTTAGCTCTTGCTGTATTCATTTTCTCCATATTCATGCACTATGGCAAACACAGTTCTGCTGTTAATAATACAGAAAAGTTATGTCTTGTACTAGGCATTATTTGTCATATGACTAAGAGTATTCGAGTTTACCTAGAAAATAAGAATATGAGCTTTCCTGCTCTTTCATCATATGGATCTGAAGCTGAATTAATAAATGAAAGTGAACACTGAAAATAAAAATTAAATATTTAAGTTACAAGGGTCATGGAAATAGGGCAAACATGAAGTCCATTTTTTTGGTCTTTTCTGTTGAAAAATAGAACTCCATTTTACTGTCAAAACAAAAGTCCATTTGATAAGACTGAGCTTCTACATATTGAAATTATTTTGCATGAGATTTGTGAGGCTGCAGTTAAAATAGAGTTCTTTGCTGTTAAAATAATAACGGTCTACCAGGCTATTCACCTGAGGTTCAGTTGTAAAAGGAGCATTACTAAGCTTTCAACCTTGTGTTTTCATGGTGTTTATTTTATGAAGCAATATTAGCTCTTTCCTTCATGAGGAGGAAATATATCGTATTTAATTTCATGGTTCCTCCTGATTTCTGAGTTTGTAATGAGATAGCAAAGGCACACAAATCTTCTAAACACAAGAAAATCCCCTCCCTCTTTTCAAAACCTCAAGAACATGGAGTCATGCTTTCTGGAATAAATTAAAAATGCACTTACTCCTATGAAACATAGGCTTTTTCTTAAGATGCTTGTGTTTTTTCACAGTGTTCTCTTTTTCATGTATATATCCTTATAAGTAATTATATATATTTAAAAGAAGAGAATAATATTTAACTTAAATAACTGCACAGAATACAGGAGGAGAGAAGTAGAAGGCTCAGCTTCTTATTTTAACATGGTAGGAAAATTTTTCTATTAGTGAATGACAGATTTCAAAGAGTTTGTGAGCATGCTGGACATCCTAAGTTTAAACTTGAAGATAAACAGAATGCTGCCTTACCTCTTACCTGTTATGAATATAAAACTTATCACAGGGAAAGAAAGGGAAATACAATTAGAAGAGCATGTTATCATTTATAAAGCTGCTGGGCATGCTAATCAGATTTCGATAATGCATTGTTACCATGACACCCGCTGACTCAGAGACTCAAAACTATTTTCTCATTAGTCTTTGACCAGAATACAGTTCTTTCAATAGGCCTTCCTATTTCTCATTCAATTATTGAAATTAAAATGAGTTGAGGTACATCATTATTCTCTTGCAGTATGAATTGACTCCTGCTGAATGCTCTGGAGTGATTCAGAATTATTGCTGTTAAAATATTGTCTTCTGTTACTGCATAAAATATATATAATGCGACAGAATACATTTAATCTTTTTTTTTTTTTTAATAGGGGACTTCTATATATCAGTATTTTCTGGAAGTAAAACCAATTAAGTTAAAATTAAAAGTTCTAATAGATTTTTTTTTCCTGGAATCAAATGTAGTTAACCTCCAGTTTTGTTACCGTTTTACAGATTTAAAATTACTTTTCATCCAAAAGTGGAAAAGAGAAACATTTTTGAGCCACTGGGCTATTACATCATGATCTAGGTAGAACTCCCACACTTCTGCAGTCTTTCCTTCTTGTCCTCTGTTAGATCATTTCTCCTCTCTCTCTGTAAGATCAGGTTTAGGACAATCTCCATCTCTGGTCTGAGAAGTATTCAGCGTGCAGCCACAAGTCTGCTTTGAGATCATCTTTGTACAGCATCACGAGAATCCACACACTGGCACCCAGTCACTAATGACTTGAGGAGAAACAAATCTAGAGCTATGATGGGAATTCAACTGGTGCTTCTGCACATACAAATTACTTAAATCCTGGGAATCTGGTTTTTATATGCTCACAGTGTATTCTTACTTGAGCAAGGGTCTTTCCCGTGGATGTCTGTGTAGCACCACTGTGTACTTAGGAGTAAAGCTGCAAGTCTCCCTGGTAACTGTGAAGATAGATAAAGTTGAAGCTAAAGTGGTGTTGGGTTTATGTATCCTCAGCATCTCCAAGAGCCATGAGAGAATGGTGGTAGTAGAAACCAGCGATGACAAGGTGAAGGGATGTTTTAGGCCCTGGACCTTTCCCATTGATTGGTACATTATAGTGATGAGGATTGACATTGGTTGGATGGAGGAGTCTCTTTTTCCTCCCCACCCTGCTGACACTGTTCTTCATTGCACAGTTATTTATTCTGCACAGCACCTCTCCTTCCCGACTGCTGAAGGCAGGGTGAGGTGAGGGTGCCTGGTTTGCTGCAGCTCCAGAGGCTGGCGCTGTGTCCTGTCTTCCAACACACCCAGCGCTCCCGGCTCGGTGCAGAGGGGCTCAGTTCCCCCCAGGACAAGAGATGAAGGGCAGCAGGCTGGCTTTGTGCATGTGAGGAGAGCAGAACAGTGGTGTTGTGATGCTCTGTGCACATCTGAGAGTAGGATTTTGCCTTAAGCTTTTAAAATAAAAGTAAAACTTCAAAGAGGTCCCATCATCTACAGCATGTGGCAGCTGGGAGGAGGGAGGAGAACAGGGCTCCCTTCTTTGAAGCTCAGGTGACAACTGGTCAGACTTCAAAAACAAACAATGTCTCTGCTCCAGTCTGGCTGAATAGTGCTTTGCAGATGAATTAGCCCTTCCAAGTTCCTGTCACTGTTGGAAAATTCAATATTTTCCAGCTTACCTTTAATATATATGAAGGAGTGAAGGAGTCACGATGACTCCTGCCACAGTCGTACACAGAGGCTTTGTGTTAGGAATCTAGAGGGCTGGAGAAGAGCAGTGTAGTGCACCTGTGGATGCCAGGTGACTCAAGTATTTGAAATAGCAGACAAAAAAAATCTGCATCTTCTGCCAGTTTCTAGAATAAGCTGAGGATGTTAATGCTGCACCTTCAAGAACCACACTCTAATTACACTGATGTCTCATGGCATGTACTAGATTTATTTATCTGTATTACTGACCTTCCTGGGTGGCTAAAGTATCAAGCTCTGCAACATAGCAGAGGTGTGTGTTAATGACTGATAAATCCCAGTGAGCAGTAAAATACTGTATTCTTGCCCTGCATGTGGGCTGGTACAATATGTAATGTCCTTAATATATTCATAAATATTAATCAAGTCAACTCTTCTAAAATGTTTGTACCCCTTTTCATGCAGACATTGTTTGGGTCAGTGGAATACAATGAATTTCTGAACTGAAAAGAAGTACAAACTGTAGGTTCTTAAAGCTATTTAAAACTTGCACTGAAAGTTGTCAAATTGTGAACTCCTTGTTATGTCCTGTTGACCTAAGACCATTCTTGCTGTTGCTATTGCAATTCTCACAGTTACTGAGGAAAGAAATCAAGACAGCTATCAATTTGTTTAATATTATATAAAAATTACCACAGCAGTTACCTTCAGTGGATTTTCCATACATTCTGTTGCTGTTGGAAAACTGAAGGTCCATGTTGTTTCCTCAGTAATTTGTAAAATAAAAAAGATGGTAAGTGCATTAATGCATCAAACATCAAAATAAAGGTAGGTAATGTTTTGATATCCTAGAAAAAGGTTCCAATGAGGAGATGCAAGAGAAAGATGAGGTGCTGGGCTGAAAGAACAACCCCTTTGTGTCAGAACAGAGGCAGCCCTGGGTCATATTTCTCAAAGGTGAAGAAGGTGATGTTACTCAGATGAAAATCTGTGCGTGGCTAGAGGAGAAAGACAACCTTGTAGAGAGAGAGTGCAGAAGGAATTAGCAGAATATACTGAGGATGGATGTGACAAATGGGAGGGGCTTGAACGAACTGAGGAGGGAACAGCAACTCCGTGTGGGCTTAAATTGACAACAAGAAGCTTTTCGGGGGATTCTGTAGCACATGGGAGCAGGCTGTGGAGGGGCGGTGATGTTGGTGCTTCCTGAGTGACTGGGGTTGATGAGCAGTGAGCAGTGCAACATTTATGAACGTTTGGTGTGCAGAAAGCTCTGAGCAACTGCCTCTAAAACCAAGGTCTCTTTGAGCACGAAGTCACTGCTGAACTTCTATCACCCAGCACTTTGGCAGCCCTGAGTGCTGGAGTTTGCTCTTGACTTCACCCTGTGTTTCTAGTGGAAATTTAAGGGTTGAGATAGGGAACACAGGATACAATTTGGAAAATGCAGCTGGGTGCTCAGAACCTCTTCCCTGCTTGAAATCTGCAATGCTGTGGGTGACTGAGCACTGAGGTGGCCTCTCAAAACTAAGTGTTGCTGGCAATCCAGAGAAGGGGGTCAGAGTAATAATGTTTGCTCAAAGTTTTTAAGAGCAGTGACTGATAAATAGGAAAATGTGTAAGATTCTATCAGAGTGCAAATGATCTTCTCATTCTGTAATAACTTGTAAAAAAAGTCTTTATAAAATCTTTTTAAAAAGCAAATTCCTGAGCAGAACTGAAGTCAGAATAAACTTTGAAATGGAAATGAATTCTTGCTTAGTTAAGTCCCTGATTTTGGTTTTTTACATGATTTTAATTTTTTTTATCTTATCATCATTTGTTAAACTATCCAAAGATGAATTTCAGTGTGAAAAAAGGATAGACTGCAAAGCCAGACAGAACAGTAATTGAGGAGGGGAGAGAGAGTGTGGAGAAAGCTCTGAGGAGTGATGGGAGCGAGGGGCAAAATTAAGAAGGGAGAGGCAGGCTGGGTTTCCATGATCAGATGTGGAGAGGTAACAGGCACAACCTGACACTGCTCCTTGCTCA